CTTTGCCTTAAGCGACCCAAAATTTAATTGTGAAGGCACCCGGGAAGCACCCGAAAGGCACCCCAACACCAGCCCCCCAGATTTTTTAGGAAACACACACTCTCGACACATGAAACTTACATATGCAAAACGATGTTCTACGCCAGGCGTCCCAGAATGTCATGTGTGTGTGCTCCGCCCCCCGCAAAAAAAACACAAAAGCATGCGCGTACGTTCCCCCTTTTCATGGCCTTAAGAAGCCCTCGTGGGCAGCGGTTACGCTAGCATTTTTCCAAAACCTTCAGCAAGCTCCTCTTGGCTCCCTTTTGGCTCCCTCTTGGATCTCTCTCATTTCCCCATTGGCTGCCTTTTGGCCCCTTCTCGATGGATTCCTTTTGTAGCAAATGTTCAAATGATTTCCTTTTGTTGCGGATTACAATGCGATTTCATTGTGTAGAGGATTACACTAGGATTCCTTTTGTAACGAATTACAAATGGATTCCTTTTGTGGGAGGCCCAGCTGGTATTGACCCAGGACCCCCCCCCCCAAAAAAACGAAATCATTGAACATTAAAGAAATTATACGGCTCTCAATCATTTTCAATGATATGAACGTAAATATATATATATATATATATATATATATATATATATATATAAAAAAAAACACACACACACACACACAACATTTTTCACCTCCTGGAAACCCAAACCATATGAAAACACAACATTTCCACCTCCTGGGTGAACAAACCATACAAAAACACATCAGTTTGGAGATCTGATGTATGATAATGCTGTGTGTTCATATGGTTTGGGCTCAACAGAGGTGGAACATGTTGTGTTTTTATATGGTTTGGGCTTCCAGGAGATGGGAAATGCTGTGTTTAAAAACATTTTTTTACGCTCAGGCCATTGAAAATGATTGAGGGTTGTATCATTTCCACAATCTTCAATGTATTCAAGTTTTTTTTTCTGTTGGGTCCTGGGTCACTACCAAGTGGGCTTGCCACAAAAGGAGTCAATTTGTATTCCGCCACAAAGGGAATCCATTTGAAATCCGCCACAAAAGGAATCAATGTGTAATCCGCCACAAAGGGAATCAATTTGCAATCCGCCACAAAGGGAATCAATGTGTAATCCGCCGCAAAAAGAATCCATTTGGAATCCGCAACAAAAGGAACCAAATTGTAAGACCGAAAGAGGGAAAGAGAGAGAGAGAGAGGAAGGGAGAGAGAGAGAGAGAGAGAGAGAGACAGCGGAAGAGAAAAGAGAAAGAGAATGAGAAAACGAGGCCCGAACGCAGAAACCGAATCACACCAACTACACCCCCTACGGGCGTCCCCTGGCGCCCTGGCGCGCCCCCTGGCGCGTCCCTTGCGACGACTCGGCGTGGCACGTTCCCTGGCTCGTCCTCTGTCGCGTTTCCTTGCTCGTCCCCAGGCGTTTCCCCTGCCCCTTCCGTGGCGGGCCACTTGCAACGTCCCTTGGCATGACGTCCTCTGGCCGCCCCATGTAACGCGCACTGGCACATGGCAGGTCCCTGACACGTCCAATGCACGTCCCCTGATGCGTCCCTTAACACGTCCCCTGGCGCATCCCCTATTGCGCCCCTGGCATATCCTGTGGCGCGTCCGTGAGCCTGTGCCCCGTGTCGTGCCGTTCCTTTGCGGAGCTGAGTCGGATTTTGAGGTCATGTTGATTGAACGTCCTCCACATTTCCACTTCAACTAGCTCTGGGGCGGTTACTATGTGCTCACGCTGCTCGAGCTTCAGGTCCAGATCAATTCGGTCAGGACTCGAATGCCACGGAAGACTAGATCCACAACGCTATAAAGCACAATCGCGGCATGACACAACGCAGTTCAGCATCGCACAACACAGCACAGCCCTGGGCACGGTACACCAAGACTGATACACTCAGCATTGCAAGTGCCCGTCGCCGAATTAGGTGTCTTGAAAACGTTGCCATGCCCTTTCGAGGTTCGTGGGCCGATCATGTTTCCTGGAACGCGCAAAAGCCCAGAATGTTCTTTTCCCGGAAACGGCATCGGCCCAAAGTTCGCTGTTAGAGGTTTACCCCCGGGCACGGCTCGATGAGGTCCGCGAATTTACAAGGTAACATCAAACTCGGCGTGGAACGAATGCGTTTCGCGCGTGCCCGCTCGAGGAAAATTGACGGCCCATGTGGAATCCGCAATGGATTATGGGGTCCGCAGACAAACGCTTCCCCCTGTAAAGAACAGTGTGCGGAGCGTTTTGCTCAGAATCCAACATAAAGCTCGAGGTCTGGAGGCATTGAAATTTGTCAGGAAGTAAAGCGTATGCTTTTTGAGTGCCAGCTCGAGCATGGCGCGCCCTGCGCGCCGAACATCTGGGGATACCTCGAGCGAAACGCTTGTTTTGCAGGACTTGAGCGGCCTGGGCGCCCCAGGATGCCCAGGCGGTTCTGGGAGCCCGAACACACCGTAGTTGACTACGGAACGTGGCCCTGGGAGCGCGGACACAGCGTAATTCACGAGGGAGCGCGGCCCTGGGAGCGCGGGCGCAATGTAGTTTACAAGGGATCGGGGCCCAGGGAGAGCGGGCGCAGCGCAACTTACGGGGGATCGTGGCCCTGGGAGCGCCGACGAAGCGTAATTTACGGTGGATCCTGGCGCAGCGTACTGTTATAGGAATCCTGCCCCTGGGGGCGCGGACGCATAATAATTTACGATGGATCGTGGCCCTGGGGGGGCGGACACAACGTAATGTATTAGGGATGCCCCTGGGGGCGCGGACGCAGCGTAATTGACGAGGGATCGTGGCCCTGGTGGCGCGGACGCAGCATCATTTAGATGGGATCGTGGCCCTGACAGCGCGAACCCAAACTAATTCACGTGGGATCGTGGCCCTCGGAGATCGTACCCAATGAAATGTACTGGGGACCGTTGTCCTGGAACATGAATCCTGCTTGATTTCTGTGTGACCTTGCTTTCTGATTCCGCTGTGTCTGGGGGGAGGGCGGGGGGGGAGGCAAGCCGCGTTTTTTGTAGCAGAACAGAGAGCTTGCCTGGGAGCGCGGTCCCGTGCCACGTCCAGTGACACGTTCCCTGACGCGTTCCCTGGCTCGTTCCCTGGCGCGTCGCCTGGCACGTTCCGCCGGGCGTCCCCGTGGCACGTCCCCTGGCACGTCCGCTGGCGCGTCCCTTGGGAGGTTCCGCGGCGCGTCCCCCTGGCATGCCTCCCTGACATTGCCCAAATGCATATGAAATGGAGGTCCTTAGAAACGGTCTCATGCCTCGCAGTTCTCAATCCCTTTGCGGGTTCGTGGGTCGATCACGTTAGAAGTTAAAAACCGGGGGCGGGTTGAAGAGGGCCTCGGATTTCCGCTCGTTTAAACTAAGGTGACGTCACATTCGGCGTAGAAGAACTGCGTTTCGCGCGTGCCCGCTCGATTGAAGTGGACGACCCATGTGGGATCCGCGATCAAAAACGGGGTCCGCAGACATACGTTTTCCAATGTTAAGCCCGGTTGCGAAGCTTTCTGCGCAGAATCTTATATTAAACACAAGTCTGGAGGCCTTGCATTGTGTCAGAACATGAAGCAATGTACTTGTTGCGTGCCCGCTCGAGGATGGCGCGCCCTGCGCGCCGAATCTCTGAGGGTGTCCCGAGCTAAACGCCTGTTTGCAGAACTCGAGCGGCCTGGGCGCCCCAGGATGCCTAGTTGGTTCTGGGAGCCCGAACACAATGTAATTTACTGGGGAGCGTGGCCCTGGGAGCGCGGACACAAAGAATTGAACGAGGGAGCGCGGCTCGCGGTGTCCCGTGGGGTCACAAAGAGTGAGATCGATAGTGAGATCGATAATGAGATCGACAGGTGTCCCGTGGTGTCCCGTTGAGTGAGATCGATAGTGAGATCGATCGTGAGATCGACAAGTGTCCCGTGGTGTCCCGTTGAATGAGATCGATACTGAGATCGACTGAATCAGATGTTGGTCCCCCCCTTTCCCCCCACACAACCTCCTTGTCACCCGAAGGGGGGATGTATAGGTATATTAGGGATCATGCCCCTGGGAGCGCGGGAGCAGCGTAATTGACAAGGGGTCTTGGTCCTGGGGGCGCGGACGCAGCGTAATTTAGAAGGGATCGTGGCCCTTAGAGCGCGCACCCAGCGTAAATTACGAGGGATCGTGGCCCTCCGAACGAGAACTTAATTTAATGTACGAGGGACCGTGGCCTTGGGAGCGCGGTCCCGTCGTAATGGCGTCGTGCGCTGCCCCTTTTCTGATTCCGCGGTGTCTGGGGGGGAGGGCGGAGGGGGGAGGCAAATCGCGATTTTTAGAGCAGCAGAATGACCTTGCCTGGGAGCGCGGTCCCGTGCCACGTCCTGTGGCACGTTCCCTGACGCGTTCCCTGGCACGTCCCCTGGCGAGTCGCCTGGCACGTTCCTTCGCACGTTCCGTGGCGCGTCTCGTGGCACGTCCCGCGGTGCGTCCCCATGGCACGTCCTTTGGCACGTCCGCTGGCGCGTCCCTTGGGACGTTCCGCGGCGCGTCCTCCTGGCATGCCCCCCTGGCATCGCCCAACTGCATAAGCAATTGAAATCCTTAGAAACGGTCCCATGCCTTGCAGTTCTCAATCCCTTTCAGGGTTCGTGGGTTGACCATGTTCTTCGTCGTGTTCTTGTATTCGTCGTCGTCGTCTTTTTCTTCGTCGTCGTCGTCGCCGTGGTCGTCATCGTCGTCGTCGCCGTCGTCGTGCGTCGTGCGTCGTGCGTCGTGCGTCGTGCGTCGCCGTCGCCGTCGCCGTCGTCGTCGTCGTCTTCGTCGTTGCCTGGAAGGGGGGTGGGATTTCTAGACCCCCCCAACAATCTTCCGGGGGGGGGGTATCTGGACCCCCCCATCAATTTTCACGGGGATGAGGGGGGGTCTTGGACCCCCTCGTTTTTTGGAGGGTTGAGCCCCATCCCGTGCCAGCAGCGGCAGAAAGCGCTCTTTCTGAACTGATGCATCCTTGCTGTGGGCTTTGACTGCATCTGTGGGTGGGTGGTGGGGGGGGGCGGGGGCAGATAGAAGACGGGTCGACCAGAGTATGGCAAATGGAGGGTGGGACGTTCGGGCAATCATGCGATCAACGCGTGCGTTGAACTGTGCCCATCGCCCCCGTTCGATCTCCTGCACTCGGCATTGAGCAGGGACCGACCGTCCCGATTTTCCTGTAGTCCTACCACGATATGTTCTTAGAACCCAAAAATGTTCGAAACACAAAAGCTATGTTCTTAGACTGTAACCCCGATGTGCTAAAACAAGACGGTCTCAGTCAGAAATGTTCTAAGAACAGGTCGTGCAGACCACTCAAGGTTCTTGGAACATTCTTTGGTGGGCCTATAGGCGAGCCCGGACGCTTCGCCACTGCTTAATTGAACTGTGCCCATTGCCCACGTTCGATCTCTTGCGCTCGGCGGCATCCGGCTTGTGGATGCTCGGGCCGCGAGCCGTACCGGCTGTGCGGCCGCCTGCTTCACAGCGCCGCCCCGCTGCCTCCGCGCCGCACGTGGGTGGGCGGCTCGTCGTGGACGAGTTCGTGGTCTTCGAACGGCTCGTCGAAAGGCCCATCGCTGGTGAGTGGAAGAGGCTTCGATCCTCCTCGGGGGGCAGTGTCAGTGGCGCTCGCGCCGGCGCCTCCACTGTCCGACCCTCTCGCGATCGTCCGGCAGCCCCAGCCGCCCGCATCTGGCCCCCCTTCCCTCATGCATCTCATGCAGGCGAGTGCGCCCCTCTCGTGCAGGAGCTGGACCCTGTCCTGCAGTTCCTGGATGCACAGGAGCTGCTGCCGCAGCAGCTGGAGCATCTGCGTGTGTTCGATCGACACGCCGAGCACGCCCGACGAGAGCGCGAGGTGGCAGACGCCCGTCTCGAACTCCTTCTCGTCCAGCTCACCTGAGCCGTCCAAGTCGAGGAACTCGAACAAGTCCGACAGCAGCGCTGGCTGGACTATGTCCCGCAGGTCGTCGGGTATGTCTATCCTGTCGAAATCGATCTCGCTGAACTGTATGAATCCATCCCCTGACTTGTCAAGGAGCTGGAACACTTGCTTGATCTGGGGTTTCAACTCTGTCAGGCGCTTCCGCATCGCGTTTTGTGCTATGTCGGCGTCCGTCTTTGCACTCTCGATAGCATGCTCGACTATTACGGCAGTCCACCAACCCCCGCTTGTCAGGGGTCAAAACGGCGTTTGAGATGATTGGCTGTCCCCCTCCTCCTGGCTCTCCATCTCCGGGGGCCCAAACCGCAGTTTGATGGGGGGAGCACTGAGCGGGGGGGACAAGCTCTCAGAGCAACCAAATCCACACTCCCATGACTCCACTACTTTGCCGCTGCGAAAGTTCGGCCAAAACTCAACGCCTCCCGTTAGGCGACGGGGCCCCAGTACAACGTTGGCAGTGTGCCCGTTAGGCCGCGGGGCCCCAGTACAATGTTAGGTTGAAGCATGTTTCGCTCCAGTCTCGGGCGGCACCGCCCTTTCGAAATCGAGCCCGCGGGTTTCGAAATCCAGTCGAGCTCGTTTGGGGGAGGAAGTCCTAGGAGAAAGCCACATTTCGAAATCGAGCCCGAGGGTTTCGAAATCCAGTCGAGCTCGTTTTGGGGAGGAAGCCCCAAGCGAAAACTGCATTTTCGAGTTTTCTGGTCAGGGCTTTTAAAATTAAATGCCAAACGGTGTGGCCATTTCGAAACGGCGGTTTCGCTTGATACTTCCCCGAAAAAACGATTTCGAACGATTTCGAAACTTTCGGGTTCAATTTCGAAATGGCGCTCCCGCCTAGGACTTCCGCAAAAATAGAATTCGAAACCTTTCTGCTTCGATTTCGAAATGGCGCTCCCGCACAGGACTTCCTCAAACATAGAAATCGCAAAGTTTCTGCCTCGATTTCGAAATGGCGCGCCCACATAGGACTTCCTGCAAAATGAAGTTCGGCATTTGTTCCGTTCGAACTCGAAATGGCGCTCCCGCCCAGGACTTCCTCCAAAACCGACTTCGAAATGGCGCTCCCGCCCAGGACTTCCTCCGAAACAGGGTTCGAAACCTTCGGGTTCGATTTCGAAATGGCGCTTCCGCCCAGGACTTCCTCAATCAAGACTACGATCAGAACCGCGACCACGACCGCGACCACTACGACGACGACGACGACGATGACGACGACGACGACGACGAGTGATGCTCACGGCCGTCGTGGTGTTCATAACCAATGTGATGCTCAGGCGTTGTTTAGCTGTAAACAGAAAACGGGTCAAAACTTTCGTAGCGCCGATGTATTCCCTTCAAGAGACCTGAAAGAAGAGCTCCAAGCCGCGAAGCCTCCTAAGCTAAGCACACCTCTGCGAGGCCAACATCTTCAGAACGCATATGTTTTTTTCCCGAACATGCTTGGGTCCATGGTTCTCTTTTCGTTGGTAAGCTGCCCCCCTGGTCTCATGCTGAGGTGGGCTGGCGAATTCCCGTTCGATGAAAAACTATTTCAAATCCCATTCGGCTTGGGAAATGCGTTCCGCGCGTGCCCACTCGAGATAGATGTGCCCCCCATCTCGGATCCTCGTTGCCTAACGGGGTCCGCAGACCCCCGCTTTCCTTTGAAAAAAGAATGCGGAGCGTTTCGCGCAGATTCCAAACTCCTGAAGAACGAGGTTCGGAGACTCCAATTTTTACTACAAGTATGGAGCAGTTTACTTTTTGCGTGCCAGCTCGAAGATGGCGCGTCTGGCGCGCAGGGATTCCGAGGATGTCTCGAGCCCCGCGCTTGGCTTGCACAATGAATATTGGCTTGATGCGTGCCCGCTCGAGGATGGCGCGCCCTGCGTTCCGAATGTGTGAGGATGCCTGGAGCGAGACGCTTGTCTTGCAACGCTTGACAGGCCTGGGCGCCCCAGGGTGACCAGGCGGTTCTGGGAGCGCGTGTACAATGTCATGTACAAAAGGTCGCGGCCCCGGGGGCGCGGACACTGCGTAATTCACGCGGGTTCGTGGCCCTGGGAGCGCGGACGCAGCGCACTCTACAAGGGATCGTGGCCCGAGGGGAGCGTGATCCCCGCGTAAGTGACAAGGCCCCGTGGCCCTGTGAGCGCAGACGCAGCGTAGTTTACGAGGGATCGTGGCCCAGGGAGAGCGAGCGCAGCGTAATGTACGAGGGATCGTGGCCCTGGGAGCGCGGACGCAACGCACATTACAAGCGATCGCAGCCCTTAAGCCGCGAACCCAATGTAATGAACATAGGATCGTGGCCCTGGGAGCACGGACGCAGCGAAATTTAGGAAGGGTCCTGGCCCTGGGGGCTTGACGCAGCATAATGTGCCAAGGATCCTGCCACGGAGGCCGCGGCAACAATGGAATGCACTTACGAGGGACCGTGGCCCTGGGAGCGCGGTTGCAACGTAATGTACAAAGCGTCCTCGCCCTGGGGGCCTGACGCAGCATAATGTACGAAGGATCCTACCCCTGGGGGCGCGGAAACAACCACATTGACCAGGGATTGCGGCCCTGGGGGCGTGGACGCAGCGTAATGTACAAAAGATCGTGGCCCTGAGAGCGCGAACCTAGCGTATCGTACTACGGATCGTGGCCCTGCGAGCGTGAATTCTCCGTAATTTGAAGTTGATCGCGTCCCTGGGAGCGCGAACCGAACGTAATTTACGAAGGATCGTGGGCGCGCGGACGCAGTGTAATCTACGAGGGTTCGCGGCTTCGGGTCCAGCGCTTGATGTTGAAGACCTGGCGGGGGTCCGAGAAAGCGCTCCCTTAACACATATCTCAATACAGAAACGTATTAGTTTCTGCTCTGGGGGGGGGGCTGTGGGGCAACCTCCGCGCGGTGCTTCGTGAACCTGGTAGCGCCGACGCAGCGTAAGTTGGCAGCACAATTCACAAGGGATCGTGGCTTTGAAACGTGGGTGTGGCGTAAGTTAAGAGGGATCGTGGCGGTGGATACGTGAATCCTTTGTAGTTCACGATGGATCATGGCCCTGAGAGCGCGAACCCAGCGTAGTGTACAAGGGAGCGAGGCCCTGTGTGCGCGGACACAGCGTAATCTACTAGGGATCGTGGCCCCTGGAACACGAAGCCAATGCCATTTACAAAGAGCCGTGGCCCTGGGAGAGTGAGTGAGTCCCGTGTAGTGAATGAAAAATCGTGGCCCTGGTAGCGCGAACCCCGCGTAATGTTCTGCGGATCCTGGCACGGACCCAGTGTAATTCACAAGGGGTCGTGGCCCTAGGAGCACGGACGCAAGAAAAACATGTTGTTTTCCCCGGGCGTCATGTCAACATGGACTGCTGGGGATACTGGAGGTGGTACATACTCCATTCGCACATCCACCGCTCGGCGGCCGGCGGAATGGCAAAAGCCTGTCGGGTCCGCCCGCCCGCCAGGCTGGAGGGCGTGTGAGACTTAACTGTGGGAGCTCCTTGCAGCATCTTTCGCCCCCCCCCCCCCCCTTTTGTCCCCGCGGAACCTTCCGCCATTCCGCCGCGCGGTTGCGGCCGACGCCCTTTTCTAGCTCCAAGAAGGCCTCCAGACGGCAGCTGAGTCAAGCTCCAATTTCATACGATTCCCATCACGATGTCCTGTTTCATTTTGGCGCCATTCTGCCACCTTCAGGGCCCCTTTCCTGGCGTCCAATATCGACCCCCTGGGCACTCAAGAACGCCTCGTGGGTCAAACTTCGCCTATAAACTCTGAACTTCCAACATGTAACAACGCCCGTACGCTTCCTATTATTTTCGCCGTGCCAGGGACCGCACGGACGTCTCTTACAGCTGACATTCGGGCTCGTCTGGGGTAGTCTTGAGCGTGCGAATTTCGACTCTGCTTTTGGGCGCGAGCCGGGGTCAATTCAAAAAGCGATTCTGGACCCAACGTGGGCTTCGACGCGGAGCCCAATACGGCCCAGATCCTGGCCCAGTTTGTAATTCAAGTTGGATGGTGTTGGGCCCCACTCGGAGGTGCTGTCGCATGAGCCGCCCAGGGGCTCCCCTGGACCGCCTTGAGCCCTAGCGGGCCGTCTTTGACCGGTCTCGGGCAATGTTCTGGCTATCTGTGGCCTCCTGCTCTGGTTAAGGAGAAGTGGTCAAGATAGTCAGCGTCCGTACCACTGATGAGTTCGTAATGGTGACGGTCCGACGAGTAATCGACGAATTCAGCATCGATCAGCCGCACGGCATACCTGAGCCCAGTCGGCGATTGGATGGAGAAGACATGGAGCGCAGGGAAAAATACAAAACACACCTGTGGAGGGATTCGTTCATCAGTTTTGGAATATTGCAACCCCGTCTTGGCGATGTCTGCGTCTCTTTTGGCGAGAACTGGAATGGGTGGGCGGTGAACGCGAAGCGTCTTGTATGACCAAATTCATCAGACATACAGGTACCACCAAGATGATGATCACAAAATAGATGCACATGACCGGCCTCACTTTGACTATTGGTACGTAAATAGCTGCGATCGAATCATAATTCGAAAATTGCACGAGTGTCAGGATTACGTTCGAGAGCGAGGAGAAGTACTTCTTCATGATAAAAGCCGTCCGCGGATCATCCCGCAGAACCTCATCCTGGGTCAATAACTCCACTCCGATGCAGCCGAAGATATACAGGCTGCCAAAGATCAACAAGCAGGCCGATGTGACCGTGCGCGCCGAGCCCAACATGCCGCGCACGAGCTTCCACATGTCCTTGAAGAGTTCCATCGCCCGCAGTGCGCGCACCAGCCTCAACAGCCGCAAGATGCGCACAATCAGCACCTGCTCCAAGATGCCGAGTTGGCTGCCTGTTTCCATGCGAGCCAAAAGCGGAGATAGTACCCAGTCCGAGAAAACGCCGAAAGAGACCAGCACGAAGTCGAATATGAACCACGGGCTATTGAAGCAGGACCTCCCCCAGGCGATCAATCGTATGATGAGCTCCGCGACGTAGAAAGTCAAGAACGTCGACTCCGCGATGTCGAGAGTGCTCACATCCCTGCCCTCCAGCTCCCACTGTATGGACATGCCTATGCAGATGGTGTTCAAGACGATTACAATGCCCACGACCGCATCGAACCACGGGGAACGTGACATGCCCTTGCAACATTTGCGCATGCGCGATGCTCCTTTTTTCAGGAACGAGCTTGACTCCTCCCAAACCCCCAGAGTCCTGGTGCCGTCGGTGCCGAAATACATCGCGTGCAGTTCATGGTCCTTCATGTTGCGCCCAGTCTGGTAGAGGGACTGGCGTGCGATCGTGTCCCGCTGTGCCGCGACTCTGCCTGTGTTTGTGGTCGTGACACTCTTGGTGTAGCCTTCGCTGTAGCCGTTGACAGGCACCTTGCTCCTAGTCGGCGACCTCAAATTGGCAGCAGATGTCACGGAGCTGGTGCCGTCCATGTTTTGCGCGGTGCAGCTCCGCCTGGCGCGCCTGGCCTGTGAGCCCGCGTGGCTGGAACTGTCGCCGGCATCTGCGGCATGGCCTGCCGCTCCGGCGCCGATGTACCTGTGCGACCGCAGCTCCCGCAGCGCCTGTAGGATGGCGTCCTGCTCCCGCTGCATCTCCCGTAGTTCGCGCTGGACCTTTCGGCTACACGCAAAAGTGACCCTGGGTAATCGTGACCTTTGGTACGCGGCTTTTCTGGGAGTCGCGGGGGGGACAAACACAAGCGCGCAGGGCGCTACCATTATTTTGCCCGCGCCAAAGGTCACTCCGGCGAAGGGTCACTCTTACGTCTAGTCGAACCTTCTGCTCCTGGCGCCACACGTCCTGGACCTGCCCGCGCAATGCTGCCTCAGCCTCCCCCTCCTCCGAAAGCGCGGCGCCCCGCCGGGCCATCGGTGGGGCGTCGGCCCACGGGCCCCGCGGGCTTGGGGGGGCCGCGGCAACCGCTCGCGTCGGATTCCACGACGCTGAGGCTCAGGCGGCTATGGTCGGAGGTGGACAAACCTCCCCTTAGCAAACCACCCATTCAGTGAAAACGGCCTAGGACCGAAACCGACGGACCTGGACCCGCAACAATGACGGCCGCGACGCCCTCTCGCGAACCGAAAACGGTCAATTCGCTAATCGACGTGGGTAGGCGATCTATCAACCTCCGATATGGAGGAGGGCGAGGGGGAAGGTGTCGATGCTGATACCTGCGGTAGAAACGCGTGGGCGACGATCAAACGCGGGTCTCGCGCGAGATGACATAGAGACCTTACGCCGCCGCTTACGCGGGTCGCCAGCGCGGCAGGCCACGTTGGAAACGAGGGTTGAGTGTGTCTTTGGGGGGCAAACTCTGTTTCTGTGTTCAGGCACAAAACTCTGATAAAGGTCTGATTCATGTCTGCGCTGGAACTCTGATTCAAGTCTGGCCCATCAGCGCCAACTCCGATTTGATTTAGGTATGATTGGAACTCTGATTTAACTCTGGCCCTAAGGCCCAAGTCTGATTTAGTTTGGTTTGGGCCCGCCGAAACCAATGTCGCGGCGTCGGCCCAGAACCCTGCCAGGTCGGCCCCGTGCGAATGCGTCTTCAAGAACAACAACAGGAATGCGCAAGCCAGACGGCGGGTCGTGGCTGGGGACCCAGCCGCCAGCTGCCAAATACTGCGAGCTGGGCCCGCCTGCGCACGCCGCCCTGCGGCAACGCTAAGTCTAGGACCTGCGCGGGGGGCGCGGGGCAGCGCCCCCCGCCTGCGCGGACCTGCCCAAAACTGCTAAACGGCAGCTGGGGCGAAAAAGAGCTCACCCGAGGCTCGCTTCTCAGGGCTGCCGGCTGCTGCGCCGCGACAGGATGCGCGTCGCGGTGGCCGCCCCGATCCCCGCCGCCCCCCAGAACAGGTCGGGGGCAGAACGCGCAAAGGAGAAGCGCGGCACTTTTCGGAAGTCTCGGGGGCGCGGGGCGCGCCCAGAACGTAGGCGGAGACATGGGGCAAGGGTAGGAACGATCGCGAGAAAGAAGGCGGAGGCGAAGGCAGGAACTGGGGTGGGAACGGGGGCGGGGGCGATGGGCGAGAACGAGGGCGAGAACGAAGGGGAAAATAAGGGCGGGAACGAGGGCGGGAATGAAGGCGAGAACGGGGGCAAGAACGAAGGCGGGGACGAAGGCGGGCACGAGGGCGAGAACGAGAGAGATAAAGAGGGCGGGAACGAGGGCGGAAGTGAGGGCGAGAGCGAGGGCGAGAACGAGGGCGGGGAACGAGGGCGGATCCGAGGGCGGGAGCAGGGGCTGGCACAAGGGCGAGAACAAGGGCGGGAGCGACGGCGGGCAAGGCGAAAACGAAGGACAGAACGAAGGCGAAAACGAGGGCGGGAACGAGGAACGAGGGCGAGAACGAGGGCAGGAACGAAGGCGGGAACGAAGGCGGGAACGAGGGCGAGAACGATGGCGAGAACGAGGGCGAGAACGAGGGCGGGAACGAGGGCGGGAACGAGGGGGGGAGCGAAGGCGGGAATGAGGGCGGGGGGCCGCCTCTGGGTGCCTCCGGGACTCCTCGGGGATCCTCGGGAATTCCCCGGGCGCCTCCGGGGGACCTCCGGGGAACCTCCGGGGGGTCCGTTTGACCCTGAGGTCCTCCAAGCTCCAAAAAATAAGCTTTGCGCAACGGCTCATTTTCAAAATGAGCCGACGTCGCGCAACGTCATGTTTTCGCGCTGGCGCGTGATTTCGGTGGGCGAAATGGAGCGCGCGAGCGCGCGAAAAGGTTTCGTTCCCCGCGCGCTGGCTACGTTCGCCGAACACCGAGCGAGCGTATTCAGCGCTGGGCGGAAGCCGCGCACACACACACACACACACACGCACACACACACACACACACGCACGCACGCACGCACGCACGCACGCACGCACGCACGCACGCACGCACGCACGCACGCACGCACACACACACAAACACAAACACACACACACACACACACACACTGTGCGCGCGAGATGCCCCGCGCGCCATGCGCAGGCTTACGATCGCGCAGCGAAGCATCCAGCGCAGAAAGATGGGTCATCAGAGAGCGCAGCGCCCGCTTGAGCGACAGTGGAGGGAACGCCATTCAAGGCTTCCCCCCTATCCCTCTGCCCACCCATCGTCCACATGTTGCTTCTGCCTTCTGCGGACGACACGGTGTCACTCGCGTGTTCGGCGCATGACGGGTTGTCGCGCGCTTCGTTTTGCCAATTTGTCCGTGGGCGGCGGTTTACTAGCGGGGGGGGGGGCGTTCGCGCGCGCCGCGGCGTCCGCTCGCAGCCAGCATGCCATTCGCAAAGCCGCTTTGCTCCCCAGCGGCCTCTGCTCACAAACAGTTTGTGCTCGCAGGTCTTGCGGTGCCCACAGACAGCGAATCCCACCGGCCCTCTGGGCGCAGGTGGTCTAGCGCGTTTCCTTCTTCCAACCTCCTTCCTTTCCCTGTTCGGGAGGTTTACCCCCCGCCCCCCCCCTGCGTCTGGACCAGGGGGGGGGGGGCGTTTCAGAGCGTCTTTCCTGGCCCAAGATCACTCCAGGAGGACCCCAGAGACTCCAAGATTGCCTCCGAGATGGCCCAAGATAGCGGTCGACGGGTCAAGATAGCCTCCGACACGCGTCCAAGAGGCCTCAGGACGGCCCCAAGACGGTTCCATGTGCCCTCCGAGGCCTCCAAGGCCCAAATCCTTCAACAACCTAAGAGACATCAGTGTGTTTTGCCTTCTCGCTTTTTCGCCTCCGACGGGCTCTCGAGGCCTCAAGAAGGCCCCGAGATGGCCCAGAACAGCCCCAAGAGGGGCCCAAGAGAACCGCAAGACGGCCCCAAGAGCGCCCAAGAGCGCTCCAAGAGCGGGCCAAGAGGGCCCCAAGACGGTATTTTTGGGCCTCCGAGGGGGGGGGGGGGGGGGGGGAGGGCAAGAATTAACGCCGCCCCTCCTGTTGATCAATGCGGCCTAAGACGGCGCCAAGAAGCCTCCCAGACCACTCCCAAGAGACCCAAGAAGGCCCCCTGACCCCCCAAAAGAGCCCCAAGAGGGTCCCAAGACGCCCCCAGAAAGCCCCAAGAAGGGCCTAGCAGGACCTCAGGAGAGCCCCAAGAAAGAGCCCCAGGAGGCCCCAAGAGGGGCCCAAGAGAATCCCAAGAGGGCCCCAAGATGCCTCCAAATTCCGGAACGCACGCGAGTTTAAGATACGAGCCGGTGCATTAGTCATTACGAGTCATCGAAATGCCCCTCATCTCTCGTCGAAGCACCATCGTAATCTGCATCGATTTCCATCCTAAACATACATGCGGGAAGCGATGCTTGATGCTTGTGTTCTCGAAAACGGCTGCGCAACTTAATGCGTCCTGCCGCCCCTGATTCACCAACTCCCCTGCTGATCGTTTCTGGGTGGGCTTGTGGAGATGCGCGAAACGTTAAGAATTGGAAGTTGCATTGCTGCGCCCGATTGCACCGCGGTTTGCACGCGCGTATGCTCGGCCTCGTAACCTAAGCCACAAGTGCCCCAAGATCGGCCAAACAGCGCCCAAGAGGCATCCAAGATGGTTCCAACGGGCCCCGAGATGGCTCCATGGGGACCTCCGAAAGGCCCAAAGGACTTCCAAGAGGCCCAAGATTGCCTCCAATATGGCAACCAAGATGGCCTCGAAGCGCCCCGAGGGCCCCAATGACGCCGCAGGGAACACCACGCCCACCCACTCTCCGCCCGAGACGCCCAGGGGGCGCTCGAGGTGCAACGCGAAGCGTTTAGGACGATACAACAAAGATCTGAGATGACGTTTCTATCTGCACACCCGGGCCCGCTTCAAGCGGGCAACTCCGAACGCGACCCTGGAGGTCGAGAGAATGCGGCGGTGACACGTCATGCGATAAGCTCCTGCCGCGCATGCCTTCAGGTGCCGATTGATGGACTCGTCGTTCCAACAGCCCCAAAGAGATGGAGCACCAAAAAAATGAACTCGCCACTGGGTGACAAGCCTGGTGGTGTTTAGGCTTGAACGGCTGGCCAAGGCGCCTCATCATCTGCACATGTCGGATATGCGAATCCAGGAGCTCCTGCTGACAGGCGTTCCGATAAGCACACCTACACCTACGCCTCATCCTTTTTTATTTGCACCTTTTTTCCCGTTGTGCGTTAATGTTCTAAACTGTGTTAGAGCATGTTGGAGAATGGTCATGCCCTAAGGGATCGATGATGAAACAAATCCTCCTCCTCCTCCTCCCTCCTCCTCCTCCTCCGTCTCCTTATCCGCCTCCTCCGTCCTCTCATCCCACGCCTCTTCCTCATGTTGCCCCCGTCACTTCCCCCCCCCTCCCACCTCTGTTGGCCCATGTCTCCCCCGTCCTCATAGGAGCCACCTCCCCCGCAAGTTGTGGTTGGTTCAAGCCCAGTGGAGCTATCCTGGGCCATGGTGCTGTTCCACTCCCCGTAGCTGCGCCGTATGAGTGCAAGCATCGCGCAAAGTGGTTCCCCCGAAACCTTGAACCATCTGTAGTTACATAGCCGAGTGCATCGGGGCAATATAGCTTCCACGCAAAATGCAAGAATGTCGTTACCTTCGGCCCCATGCAGCGATACCAAGCCATCTTCGGTCTCTCCAAACATGCCTTCTGTGACGTTCTGAGTCCGATGGCGGGGGCAGCCGCGTCTCTCCCCTGACGAATGCCACTCGAACAATAACGCTTTGAAGCGCTGGACCGTGCCACTACGTCTCTCCTCAGCGGTTGCCCCAACAACTTCGAAGACATTTTCCGACATCAGCCAATGCACGAGGAAGTTGACGAAATACAGAAATACTCCGAGGCTGAGGCAGTGCAACCAGTCCACAACCATATTCTGCGGACCCAAGTGGCATTCGGCACAAATCAAGGGGTTTCGATGTCTGCACATCGTCTCATTGGATTGTCGCCAGAACTTCGCACGACATGGTTTTTGCAACGTGTCGAACTGCATAGTGTTTTGCATACTCAAGTGTGGTTCTAGG